CCCTCCCCACGAGGGCGGGCGCTGAGCGCCCTGCCGAGCAGGAGCGGGATGTGGGGACGCACGGGTCCCCGCGCTCTCGTTCGGGTGCCGGGCCGAGTGCCCCGCGGGACTGACGAGTTTCCGGGGGTCCGAACCGGTCCTGGGCAGCTAGGGCTTCGAAAGGGCAGGGCCCCGCGCGGCGCCCAAATCGGAGAAAAAGTCTAACGGGATAGACGGGCGTCCTCAGACGCCCACCCCGCGAGTCCGCCACGGGGAGAGGAGCCGGGGCGCCCGCTTTCGAGCCCCGCGCGTGGGGCTCGTGGGCGGTCGCACTGAGACCAGATTGGCGTCCCCTGCCCCCCTGGCCGGACGCACGCACCCTCGCTACCATCTCGCCCCCGCCAGGGCGCCCCCGCCCCTGGGCGCCCCCAGCCCACCCCGGCTTCAGAAAGATAGGCTTCAAGTTTTCCCTCTGCGAAATGTGCACGGAGGAATTTAACTGCGCGAGTGAATAAATGCATTAGTTTCCATTATATTTTAATCCTGGCAACAATAAACTTTGAGAACAAAAGCGCTTTTACGTCCTTAATTAGGCGAGCTCCCCATCTGTGGTCTCGAAGTGTCTGCCTCTTGATTTAACTGTCCCCTGCCCCGCCTCTGCCGCACCCCTCTCCCCGCTGGGCTGTGGGGGGGGTGGGGGGTTCTGCGCTCCCAGGACGTCCCCCCCACGCCCGGGGCGCCCGGGGCCCTCGGGCCAGCAGGCTCCGGCCGCTCCGAAGTTCATGCTGGCCTGCGTGCCCCGCCGGACGCCCCGGTCCCGTCCTGTGAGCTTGCACCTGGGACAATTCAGCAGCCCACCCTCTCGGTACCCTTGCCCCGGGCAGGCGCTCAGGGCGCGGAACTGTAGGGAGCTAGCGAGCCGCCTTCTGTTTACCTTTTATGGTTAAAATAACAGCTTAGCAAAGAAGCGACTTCTCGAAGAAGCGATTTAGTGAAATTGTCTCAAGCTGCCGCAGCACAGCCAGTTTAATCACCCCCAGAGAGCTGAACAACTGCGAGCACAATGGGACACAAAATCATTTTGTGTGTAAATGAGCGTGGCATTCTGCTGGCTTCCCTCTGCTCCGGGGGGCGGGGCTCGGCGGCGGGCGCGGGACCCGGTCTCCCGCGGTGCCTCCCAGAAACGGGTCGATACCGAGCTGGTCGGAAACGCCGCGGGCCCGGCCGCGCACTGCAGCCCAAGCCCTTGCAACAGGCTGTTTGGCCCAGCCTTAGGAGAGCCGGGCGCGCCGTGGTGGGTTGTAGGGGTTGTGTGCTGGTGTGAGTAACAAAACTTGTGTCTCTGACTGCGTCCACTTTTATGTTTGTGACCTCAGCACTAGTTTCGGGAAAGGTCGTTGGCCAGCACCAATGCGCTTATCGAAGGGGCCACTGGAGGTGCCGGTCGAGGCGTAAAGCCTGGGGCTTCCGATGGTGAGTTTCTGGTTTGCCTGGAACAAGGTTGTGCTTGTGACGGGAAAAAGGCTGCGTGAGAACAGGATGGGGCAGCTTTGGTGCTGAGTAGTTGGCATCACAGGTGACTTTTACGTAGTGTGCTGGTAGTAGGGATGATCTTGTGCAGTGCCCCTAGGTAGGGATTCTGTGGGAATTGCTTACTGCTGATTCCAGGCCACCACAATCCGTTCCCTGTTTTGATTTCGTAGAACTTCCCTGAGATAAAATGGTCAGGTTTACTTTTCGAAGCCTCCTGTGCCAGAGGCAGCTGGGCTCAGAGCAGCCACCCCACCCCCGCCTCCCAAGCGGAAACAACCCCAGGACAAATCAGGAGTCACCTTCCTTAGATTTGCAGAAGGCATTTCTCATTGGACCTCGGTCTGCATTTGACATTGGATGCTGACTCCATCCTGGAGTTTTAACAGAAAAGCAGCTCCTTGGGATTCAAGAATTTCATTGGGTCAATTGCTCTCATCAATTGAAACCTGTGTGAGTAGATCCAGATGGAGCTGGAGGAGGGTGTGTGTGTGTGTGTGTTGTTGCAACCCCATAGTGTAACCCCTCCCCCACACTGTGAAACAGCCCTAAGTGGAAGGGGGCTGCATAAACCTGCTCCTCTCCATTCTCACAAGCCCTGTGAAAGAATGCGTGTGCTGACTAGGGGCTGAGGGACAGTTTTGATTGAAGCTGGTTTGTGGCATAGAGGACAATCACAGAGCCTGAGGAGTTGCAGAACTGGCCCATTTGCTGAGCTGGCTTCTCTGGCTGGGGGTGGAGGGCAGCATGAGGGGTCTGGAACCCATTAAGCTCAGAGGAGACCATCCTGGGCTTCCAGGAAGAAATGGTGGGGTGCAAACAAAGACAGGTGTTCATGCTGTTGGAAGCCCAGAGGGGTGATGTGCCTGCTGCCCTGTGCTTTGGCTTCCCTGCATCCACCAGGCTGCAGCTGCACTGGAGCAGGGACGCTATTAAGCATGGTCCTAGGCTCCCCATCCCAAGGAGGGCATGGGACCCACCCTCAAGGCCCTGCCCACAAAATTCTCTGCTGATGCAAGGAACACGCTCTGGAGCAGATTCCAAAATAAAAAATAACAGTAAAATGGAGTTTGCTTCAAAACCTTTGGGGCCCATGCTGGTGAGCATGTTTCAGTACTGTCATTAGCTAAACTAACAAACATGAGCTTCCCAGAAAGCGTGTGCGGGTGTGTGAGTGGGTGTGTGCAGAGTGTAATTTGCAATGGCCTGGGGGCTGAGGGGGTTGGATGGGGAAGGGCAGTGCGGGGTGGAAGTGGAAGAGGAAGGGTAGGTCTCTCAGGTGCTGCCTGGCACAGGGGTCCCACACAGCATGCGAGGGAGTGAAGCTTCTAATAGTCTTTGACTCCACCAAAGAAATGACGGCAGGTGAGGAAGCCCTTTGGTTGTCCGCTGTTTCCCACAGACACTCTGGGCAGCGATGGAAGCCTAGATGCCTCACCGCAAGGAGCGGCCGAGTGGGTCCACGCTTCACGCACACAGCAGTGCCGGCACCACGGTGAGCACCCGCAGAGTGGCACCCACAGAGGGCCTGGAGCCAGTGCCTGCTGACCCCTCCCTCTGCCTCCTCCCACCTCAGCTCACTGAGCACCCTGCTTGCTCATGGCAACAGCTGCTGGAGGGGATAGCTGGTGTGGCTAGCTGTAGAATTATGGTTGCTTAAAAAAATTTTTTTTTTAAACAACACTGCTCTTAATTTGATGTGAAATTTATGACATGTATAAACCTCAACGCCCGTAGGTGCTGAGGAAGTCACTAATTTAGAGGTGTCTTGTTACTGAGACAAACTTGCAAAAAAAAAAAAAAACCCACCCTGAATCCCAATTCACAAATTGGTGATTCGTTTGTCAGAGGATATTTTCACATCTAACACATAAGCCCGCGACCTTTAATTAGAATTTTGCAGTTTGTTTTATGCCCCCCGGAGGCTGACACCTTGGGAAAAATTTTTTTCCCCCTTTCTTGGTTTCTTATTGCTAATCAGCATCTTTCTTCCACCCACCCCTCTCCCCCCTTCCCCCACTACTTCTGGTACTTTGAAGAAAATGATGCAAATACACTTCATTATAGTGGTGGCCGCAATTTGTCAGCGGCGTATGTGATCAGGCGCCGCAGAAGCGATCTGATGAGATCTGTGATCCCTGGCGCAATAAGGGCCTCCGGGAGAAACGCACTACTTTTCCAAACCTGGTTTCCCTTTCATTTCCAGGAGGAAGGAAGCATGTCCCGGTTGTCTCTTACCCGGTCGCCCGTGTCTCCCTTGGCTGCCCAGGGGATTCCACTGCCCGCCCAGCTCACCAAGTCCAACGCACCTGTGCACATTGACGTCGGCGGCCACATGTACACCAGCAGCCTGGCCACACTCACCAAATACCCCGACTCCAGGTAAGAGCCGAGCTCCTTATCGTGCTGTGGACCTGGCACAAAGATGCAGTGTTTGAGAGCAGGCTTTGGGAGGCCGAGCCAGCCTGTTAGAAGATGCTCCCCCACAGGCTCGTGACCCACAGCGGGTGGCTTCAGGGAGACAGCCTGGAGCTTTGGACCTACTGGGGCGGTAGTGAGCTCAGGCTCCTCTTTTGAGATTCAAGCTTGGCCTCTGCAGGGGACCACTGTGAGTGACACTGCGTGGTTCTCTGTGGAAGAGAGAGGGGGAAGGATTTCACTTTACTGATTGTTCTTACCCTTGTAGTGGTCACTGCCAGGCTGGAAGGGTCAGTAACAGGCCTCCTTGGGGGCTGAGGGTTGTGCTGGCCAGTGAGGTGATTCTAGGGCATGCAAGGGGACCTGGTGCTGTGGCTCAGCATGGGCCGCACATGGCTGTCAGTGCATACAGGGTCAGTAGCCAGGGCTTTGGTGGGAGACTTGGGGGTTCTCTCTGTAGGGAGCCCCCACTCTGCCGAGCTCACGTGTGTACCCACCTCAGGGGCCTGTGCCCATCATTGGTCCTCTCCATCACCTGCTCTCGCTGCTTGGGTTTCTGTTCCCAGGGAGGGCCTGGTTGCCCTGTGGATATGGCAGCAAGGGTGACAGGCAGGATGGGTCTAGGGGCCTATCCCTGCTGCCAGCCGTCTCTTTTCCCCAGGGATGCCCAGGAGTGCTGAGACTGCAGGGTCACCCCAGCTTTAGACATTTACAATAACAAGAGGACTAATTAATCCCCTGAACACCAAGGGGCTGAGTTTGGAAACCCGTGTGGCAGGTTTGCATCTTGTCTGTGTGACTGCTCAGAGCAGGCAGGCCTTGTGTAGTGTGGAGGCCACTGCCCCTGGAGGTGGCTGAGGGCTGAGGTGGAGGTAGTCTCCAGAAGGATGCTGGTGGTAGGGACTGTGTTCCCTTAGCCCAGCAGAGACCGGGTCTGGGGCTCTGGGGGCCTTGGGGAGCCTATCAGCAGGACCCAGGCACACACGTGCTCATCGAGCCCTGTATAGGGTGGGGGATGGATTTTGCTGGTTTAATTTCAATTTTGCCTCCTGCAGTATTCCCAAGGTGTTTGAGAGAGATCATCCCCTAATCGGTTGGCAGCATTTGTGAGTTAAATTCATAAAACTTTGCCCACAACCCTCCCTGCAGAGGGTTTACTGAAATCAGCCACTTTCTATTCTTGATCCTCACAGTCGTAGCCTTGGGGAGGGGAGGAGAGGGGACACCACCTCATTCTGTCTTTCAACTGTTGCCTACGAGCAGGGAGAGCAGCAGGGTGGCTCCCTGCACTCCTTTTGTCCTCACTGAGAGCTGGGACCACCCCAGGGGTGGCAGGACCTCAAGATGGGTCTGTTCCCCACCTTAGATGTTATCCCAGAGGCCCAAGGCCCAAGGGCAGCAGGCCATTCAGGACAGGCAGGACATGGTAGGTCAGACCAGGCCCGGGAAACAGCCTATGCAGCTATGCTGGCCAGGGCCTCTTGGGCCACTGCTGCCCTTAGCAGGTGACCTACTAACATTTAAGAACCCTTTTCCCACCAGTTCCGGAAGAGAAGATCAAACCTTACCCAGTGCCACTAAAGCATGAGTCACTTGGAGGTGGCTTCCGTTGGGCAGCCCCCTCCTGCCAGGTGGTGCTGTGAGCACCACGGGGCTCCTGCCTTCATACCCCGCGTCACCGTGCCCACAGCAGTACTCTTAGGCCTCTGGTTCTTGGCTGATCAGTGTAGCTGTAACCGGAGGAACAGAAGAGCCTGTATGCCAGGGGCCTCTTCTGGCCCCACCCAGGAGTGGCATGGGTGCTCGCCCAGAAACTGCCTAGCACAGCATCCAGGGGCTGGGAGCAGACTCCCTGGGGCTGTGCCCGCCCCCATGCCCTGCCTGCTGACAGGAGCCTGATGCAGTCACCACTCCACTGCGACATCCATCCTGGCGGCAGGGAGCGGCAAATTAAGATGGCCAGGAGCTTCGGAATGTCATAAAACCTTCTAGTACCACAGCCAGGGAATTGGAGCCAAACCTCCGAGAAAGGAAAGGAGCCCCTTTGTGTGTTTCTGTTGCCCTGAGGATTCCAGCTGCTGACACGGCCCATGGCTGGTTTCCACAGGGGGCACACTGAGCCGCGGGCAAAGGCCAGCAGAGGTCACAGCAGCATCAGGACTCTTAAGAGCCTGAAAGTAGCAGGGTAGCATCCCTCCCAAGCCCCGAGGGCGTCACAGCCATGTGTCCCATGAGAAGCTGCTCTGCTGTCAGCTTATTCTGGAGCCAGCACTGCAGCGTGGAAGCATCTACAGCCCCGAAGCCCTGAAGTGAGGCCTATTGAAAACTTTCTGGCCTTGGATTAGTATGATAACGAAGAAGCCAGCCAGCTCTGACCAGAACATTCGAGCTGGAACAGAAAGGGTGGGGATGTTCTCCAAGGAGGTTGAGGCCCAGGGTTTGCCACCTCACCTGTGCTTGTGGCTCTTGCTTCATCCTCCACAAAACCAAACTCACTGCCATGGAGTCAATGCTGCCTCATAACAACCCTGTAGGACCCATGAGCTTCCAGGAGTAGAAAGCCTCTGTTTACTAACTGTTTATGGGGGTAGAAGGCCTCGAAGTTTTCCCTTGGAGTGCCTGGTGGCTTTGAACTGCTGATCTTGCAGATTGTAGCCTGACTCTTTCCTACTGGTGCCATATTGGTCCTGATGACTTCCCATGGCCCTGGGTGCAACCACATGTGTCTCCAAGGTTGCCCCTTTCTGACATCTGAATTCCCAGGTTCATTGAAGGTCTTTGGAGGATGGGAGCCCACAAGGTTTTTAAAAACATTTTATTAGGGGCTCATACAACTCTTATCACAATCCATACACACATCAATTGTGTAAAGCGCATTTGTACATCATTCTCAAAACATTTTCTCTCCACTTAAACCCCTGACATTAGGTCTTCATTTTCCCCTCCCTCCCCACTCCCCCCTCCCTAATGAGCCCTTGATAGTTTATAAATTGGTATTTTGTCATATCTTGCCCTGTCCGACGTCTCCCTTCACCCACTTTTCTGTTGTCCATCCCCCAGGGAGGAGGTCACATATAGTTCCTTGTAATCGGTTCCCTCTTTCTTACCCACTCTCACTCTACCCTCCCTGTTTCGCCACTCACACCACTGGTCCTGTAGGGCTCATCCACCCTGGATTCCCTGTACTTTCAGTTCCCATCTGTACCAGTGTACCTCCTCTGGTCTAGCCAGACTTGCAAGGTCGAATTCGAGTCATGGTAGTGGGAGCGGGGAGGAAACCTTTAGGAACTAGAGGAAAGTTGTATTTCTCATCGTTGTTACATCGCACCCTGACTGGCTCATCTCCTCCCCGAGACCCCTCTGCAAGGAGATCTCCAGTGGCCTACTAATGGGCTTTGGGTCTCCACTCCGCACTCCCCCCATCATTCACTATGGTAAGATTTTTTGTTCTGATGATGCCTTATAGCTGATCCCTTCGACACCTCGTGGTTGCATAGGCTGGTGTGCTTCTTCCATGGCCCATAAGTTTTCCAGCAGGGACTGGGCTCCCAAGCTCACTGTTCCCAGTCCCAGTACTTGGGGTAATTGGGAGAAGGCTGGCTTAATGGCCTTTAGAGCCCTGGAGGGAGTTGTCCCCAGGTGCCCTCTGGCACCGCTTCCAGGGGCACCAAGCTCTGCATGCCTCCTTGCAGACTCAGTCCACGTGGCAGCCAGGCCCTTCATACCAACCCACTGGAACAGGCTGGGCCCCAGACTTGAAGAGACAGGTGGCCATGTGGTTGCTCCACACTTGGACAGGTCTGCTGGCTTCTACCTTCAGTGTGCCAGGCTGTGATCCAGATGTGGCCCTGAGAGCAGACTCAGGAACCAAATACCCCATTTCTGTGTGCCCAGTGGCAGTGCTGGGTCCAGGCCTTAAGGGCGACTGACTTAGAGGACCATGGAGGGGCCTGCAGTGGGGAGAGAGGAGCATCCCCAGAAGGGTCCTGTCCTGTGCAGGCAGCAAGAAAGAGGGTCCTTAGGCTTTGGCTTGAAGTTTGGCTGGAAGGCCTGGATCCTGGGCAAAGGCTCCTTCCTCTCCGAGAGGCTCTGCCTGGCTGGGGTCTGGCTGACAAGTGACTGGCCCTGTCTGCCAAGGAATGTCTGGTGCAGCTGTGGTGGGGAGACCTTGCCACTTTCCCTCCTGACCCCAAACCTAAGGACCTGCGTCCTTTCCCCTGCACCCCCAGAGGTGTACATGCTGTGGCAGGAGTAGCCCCCTGCAGGCACTGTGGCCCAGGTGTGTGCACTGGGTGAGGATGTGGGACACATGGGTGTGTGCTCATAGGCTGTGGTGTGTGCAGTGTCACCTCTGCACGTGCTTGTGTGTGAGTGATTGGCCCTGGTGACTTAGTTGCTACAGCTGTGTCCCAGGCTGGCTGATGTGTGTCTGGATGTGTTTGGGTCTGCCTGCCATGGGTGGCATGGCTGGCAGACCACGTGTCCGGGTGACCCTGTGCTCATTGCCCAGGTGTGCATGGGTGCTGGTGGGGAGGTGGTTGTGTGTGGCTGCTGAAAGGGAGTCTCTTCTGTGGCTCACCAGGTGGGAGGCTTTTGACAGGGGTGTCTGCGTGGGTCTGTCTGATCTGCCCCAGGTCTGACTGGCTGGCTTGTGCCAGGGTGGGGTTGCCATGTCAGTGTCTGGCTGTGGTTTTCCACCACTGGCACATGTGTCTGTGGGCAGGTATGAACAGCCGGCAGTGCCCATGCCTGTCTGTGACTGGCAAGTGTGGGGGGACGGCGTGGCCAGCTGACGGGGGTCTGACCTCCTCGGGTGTGTGTGTACAAGTATGTTTGGGCACAGTCCTAGAACCAGGGAGAGCCTTGCCTCTCTGGGTGGGCAAGAGCCCGGGAGCCAGGGATGGGTCAGGTGGACCCGGTACCCTCCCTCAGACACCTCGTCCTGCCTCTCCTCCCCCAGAATAAGCCGACTTTTCAATGGCACTGAGCCCATTGTCCTGGATAGTCTGAAGCAGCATTACTTCATTGACCGGGACGGGGAGATCTTCCGCTACATCCTGAGCTTCCTGCGGACATCCAAACTGCTGCTCCCAGACGACTTCAAGGTAAGCCTGCAGCTTGTGCGTTGTTGGCTTTCCCCGGGACACTGTGACTTAATAAATGGACCCATGGTAACCATGGCAACCATAAAAGTTAACCAATGAAGCCTAGGGCAAATCCGTTTTTGTAAACTAATTTTGCTTTCTCACATTTTTAGCTTATCTATCATGGTGTAACAATAAGTAAGCAGCGCTTACCCCAGTTTAGCATACTTTGTGTGGAAGGGCTGTGGGTGTCAGATGAACAGGAGGGAGAGGCTTGCCCAGCTGCCTATTGATGGCGGGTCACCAGGGGAAATGCGTGCACGCAACGCACACACCTCTGGCAGGCATAGGCTCCCAAACTTATTTGGCCTATCACCAGTTTTCAGAAAATAAAATTACTCAGTATTTCCCCCCCTACCTCACCCCCATACACACATTAAAAGCTTTTATCCTGTAGCACAGGATAAATTGTAGTTATCTGCTGCTTTGTCAACTGGCTTGGCTCCTGAAGTCCAGCCTTGGTGTTGGGCCCCGTGTCATGGCACCCAGGCTCTAGGGCAGAAGGTACGCCCAGTCTGGGTGTGCCTGGCTCCTGACAACAAATGCTCATCCACCTTTCTCCCCCCTCTTTCCAGCAGTTTCCCAGAGGACCACCGGCCCTGGGACTATTCCATGCTTTGCTTAACTCAGTTGCTGCATGTCTGCAACTGGTCAGTCTGAAGGCAGTGAAACACAAGGCTGATGTGGGCCCTGCCCCATCATGCTCACAGTCTAGTGGCAAGGCAGATGTTGAAAACACATGACCTAGAATTCTGTGTGGCAAATGCCTCAGGAAAGCAGAAAGTTATTGTGAGAGTTACCAACAGAAAGCCTGGGTTTCTGGAGAGATGGTGTTCCCCCAGTGGTGAAGGAAAGAACTTGGAAGAGGTGTCACGTAGCTGGGGCATTATGAACCGGGAGGGACAGGCAGGGGCTGGTCTGTGGCCCTCAGGACCATTGGGGCAGGCTCAGCCATGGGAAGGTGAGTCGGGGAATGACAGTCCTCTTTAGAGCCTGACGTGACCATGCTGGTTGTGTGCAAGAGGATAAAGCCAGGGTTGGGAAGTCTGGGTGAAATACAGGCAGGGGTCAGCCCTGGGCAGGGCCGCTCCCCCAAACCAAGAGAGTGATTAGGGAAGGCTTGGCCCAGAGCGGAGGCATTGAGGATGGAACGAGGCGGCTGATGAGGCTTATGTTTAGGAAGGGACTGTGAAGATTAGGGTATGTATTGCCTGTGGGCAGGGGACTCTTAAGTGTGTCTCTCTCCTGGCTTGCATCTTGAGTCTTGAGTGGGCATGGCCCCGCTGGGGCGGGGGTAGGGGGTAGGGCAGGCTGGGGGCTGTGAGGATGTTCTGGGCTGGGAGGAGGCTGTGGGCATTGCTGTCAAGCTCGTGTTCGTCATACCTTCCAGGTGAATAAGAGCCAGGGTGAGTAGCGGTCCAAGAGGGAGCCATGAAGACCCCTAATGGCAGAACAGCTAGGTTCCTGAGCGGTGGCAGCCCTGGGGGACGGTGAGGGCCGGGACCTCAGGCTCATTCCACAGGCTGGAGCTGGCAGGTGGAAGGGACATAGGGGAGGTTGTAGGGCAGACCCTGCTTCTGACATAGGGTTTCTTTGCCCTCCCCTCCAGGGGTCCCTCTGGAGGCCTGCCAGGGCCCCTGGGAATTAGGGCTGGGACCAGTGTTGAGGGCCAGTGTTTGGCCAGGTAGAAGGCTGCCTGCAGTGGGTGTGCCTGACTTCTCCAGGGCTCATCACACTCTGTGGTGAGGGGCAGCGTGGGTGGGCCAGGCACTTGGTATGCCCTAGTCCTGTAACCCTCTCTTCTCTGAGCTGGACATTTACGTCTGTTAAGAGAGGAGGAAAAAAGCTCGGAGAGGTGTCAGGGCTGATAGCGAGGGAAGCGAAAGGAAAGCCCAGCCCAGGCAGGTGCCAGAGGAAAGGACACCTCTGTAATGCGCTTTTTTGAGTCTCTCTGGGATGGGACTTGTGCCAGGGCACCTGAGGGTGAGGCTGCACTGTGCCCTGCCCGGCTTCTCTGGGTGGGACCTAAGAAGGGGGTGGCCCCAGGCACAGGCTCCGCCTCCCACCCTTCCTGTCAAACTCCCACGAGGCTTCACTCTGCCCTGTGGGCACACTTTGCACCCCTGCCTCACTTTCCCTGTCTGTACAATGGGGCCCTGACCCACGCTCTGTGTGTCCGTGCCCCAGGACTTCAGCCTGCTGTACGAGGAGGCGCGCTACTACCAGCTGCAGCCCATGGTGCGCGAGCTGGAGCGCTGGCAGCAGGAGCAAGAGCAGCAGCGCCGCAGCCGGGCCTGCGACTGCCTGGTGGTGCGCGTGACCCCTGACCTGGGTGAGCGGATCGCGCTCAGCGGCGAGAAGACCCTTATCGAGGAGGTCTTCCCGGAGACCGGGGATGTCATGTGCAACTCCGTCAATGCCGGCTGGAACCAGGACCCCACACACGTCATCCGCTTTCCGCTCAACGGCTACTGCCGACTCAACTCTGTGCAGGTGAGGCTGTGCCCACCTGCCGGCCCCAGACCCGGAGGATGAGGGAGCCTCTACCCCCCCAAATGGTGAATCCCCCCCCCCACATCCTACAGAAAAGGCAACGATGTACTGATGCATAATTTATGTCCCCTTCAGAGTTACGTGAAGTCTGGTGGTGCCTGCAGGATGGACTTTAAAAAAATTGTCCTGTTTTCTCTCCCCTGCTCCCCACTCCCCCCACCCCCCAAAGATCTTCTCTGAAAATGACCCTGGGTTTCAGACAGTGTGCTTCATTGGACACCCAGAGTCTGACTTTGGGTTACAGTGACAACCAGAGAGCCAACAGAGAAAGGACAGTGGCTGAGTGGAGGTGGCTCAGTCCCTGCCCTGGCCCTGTGGCCCCCAGCATTTTTAGACTGGGTCTGAGAAGCTCTTCCCCAACCCAAGCCCAGACTCACATCTGGGTTTGATGAGAATGGACAATTTGTGGGCAAACGTATCCCCTTCCCCCAAGTCTGCAGGCTGTGGGTCAGAACGTTCAGGGACACAAGTGTTAGCCCCAGCAATCAGATCCTACCCTCACCGAGGCGCACAGGCTTGTAGACCCTGAGCATGTGGGGACACAAGTAGGACACCTCTTTCTCTCCACCTCCACATCCTGGGGGCAGGGCTTCCATTACTGGGGCAGGGCTCAGGGAAGGTGAGTGGGTGGGATAGATCCATGGAAGCCCCCTGGAGAGGAGGGAAAGGGTCCAAAGACTGCACCCCTGTGGGTGGCAGGAGTAGGCAGCCTCTCCAGCGTGGTCCCTCCAGGACCCTTGGATCCCTGGCTGCTCCTAGCCTGCCTGTAAGAATCTTTGTTGCCGAGTGAGAGATGGGGCAGAAGAAGGCACATGAGAGACCAGGCCCCAGACCCCGGCCAAGCCAGGCCGACCCTGCAGCTGGGCATTGTTGACCTCTTTCTTTCCCAGCAGGTGCTGGAGAGGCTGTTCCAGAAGGGGTTCGGCATGGCTGCCTCCTGTGGCGGGGGGGTGGACTCGTCCCAGTTCAGTGAGTATGTGCTCTGCCGGGAGGAGCGGCGGCTGCAGCCCACCCCAACAACCATCCGGATAAAGCAGGAGCCCTTGGACTAGGCCCTCCTGAGTGCCACCTGAGGCCCCTGAGACGCGGAAACGGCTGAGCAGCTCTGCCCTGAGCACGTTCAGCGGTGAGTGTGAGACTGAGGGTGGGGCCGGAGGGCCCTGAGTGCCACAGCAACAGAAGGCGCGGTACTGGAGACAAGCCCCCCCACCAGTGGACCATTGGTGTGGCCCCAAGAGGCCATGGCAGGAACTCGTGGTCCGGGGGCTCCTGACCTGGACAGCATCAGAGACTGGGAGGTGCCACCGCCCTACCCCAAGAGCTGCTCACCTGTCTCCGCTTGCGCCTGACTCTGGTGGGTCTCCTCGCATCAGAAATGGCTTATTTTTCTACAGTATTGAAAAGGAAGGTAGCCGGATCTGCACATACCAGAGAGACCGACAGGACCAACGCTTCTGTCGCTGGTACTCAGTTCTCAGTCAGATGTGCAGCATGCTTGAGTGTCACTCAGGCCAGGACTTCTGCCCGAGCTGGGCCTGTGACCCTTGTGGCCCCTGTGATGGGGAGTCGGGCGGGGCAGGAGTCAGGCTGGGTGGCTCTGTAGTTATCAGAGAGCTACGCTTGGGCCACTACTAGTGGCTCAGGCCCCAGCTGTCTGGGCCACCGGACCTATCCTGACCCACAGGGGTGTCCAGTCCTATGTGCACATTCCCACTTGGGCTCCACGTGCAGAGCAAGTGCAGGCCCCCACCCTCTGACCTCAGGAATGGGCGCCAGCGTGAAGGAGCCCAGCTGCCAGCAGCGTCCTTTGGGTGCCCAGCTCAGGAAGCCGTCCCTAGCTCTGTGTTTTTTCCCATATTAATTATGCACACTGAATTTTAATTGAACTGTCGTTAACACCAGCCTGCCAATGAGAAAGAGTTGGACACAGGCTCTTGACTCCTGATCCCCACGAGGACTGGGCCCGAGGGCTCCTCGCAGACCTGCTGCCTCACTCTTGGCCTTGTCACATGAGCTGTCGTAGGTCCCCTCCCACTGGTTCCTTGGGAGGAGCAGCTACAGAGAGTGGGCCGGTGGGCGCAGCACCCCAGCAGCACCGCCCTGTGTACAGTGCCTGTAGACTTGTATATGACTCCTTTCATATTGTAAAGATGCTGATGTACAATTGCTGTGTTTGTGTGAGCACATTCTGTTCCTCATGCCATAAATAGTGCCATAAAGCAAAAGACTGAGGCTCCGTCCAGTGCCAAGCAGCAGTGGGTCCTGAGTTGGGTGCTACAGGGAGGTCCAGGGTGGCGGCTCCTCCTGAGTTTGCCTCTGGTCTACTGGAGGAGGAGCAGGCAGCGGGCCCAGGGCAGAGCTGGTTGCATTGGGGTGTTTCTGCCCTGCCTTGGCTTGTCCGTCCCCTATGGGCAGCACAGGTTCGCATTCTGATCACAGTGTCCTGTTGTCCATCAGACTCCCACCCAATGTGAAAGGCAGGCGGAAGGTGTCCAGGGCCGTATGTGCCCTGTCCGTAAGTGTTTGGGATGTTGCTCGCTCGCCACCTTGGGGTTGGGGCTGCTGGCCTTTTTCCTGACACGGCGAAGGGACAGCCCGAGACCAGCCAGCCCAGAACAAGCTGTCACGACCTCTGCTTCCAAGGGAAGGAGTGTGCGTGCTCCACACAGGCGTCCCCTTGGGGTGAGCGTCTGTCTTTCCCCTCAAGGCCAGTGTGCTATGACCCTGGAAGGTCCTTTTCTGTGCCCAGCTGGGCCACTGACCTTGACCTGCCTTGGAGGCTGGGAGCACACAACAGCCCCTTTCTGTCTGAGGCTGCAGAGCCAACACCAACCCTTACACAATCTTAATTTGCTGGGCAAACTCGATAGGCTTCTCCCCGGCCTAGCAGCGCACCTGCAGCCGGCACGTCTGCCTTTGGCATCGGAGCTGGACCTCTGAGAGGAGAAGAAAGTGTTGTGCTTCTTGGAAGGGAAGTCTTGTGTGTTTATGGATCCCACCCCTCGCCCCCCTTCTCCAGGACAATAGCCAATCCTGATTAGTGAAGGGTCTCTCCCATTTCCAAGCAAACCGATTAAAAAAACAAAACGAAACAGAGAGAAGCAGCCATTTTAAAGGTTACTCTAGTTTGAATTTTACTGAAGTACCATCGGCAAGTACCATTTCACATAAACGGGCATTTCTGAATCTGTAGAGAATGCTCTGCCCACCACAGTACTGTCATGACGTGACCGTCCGTAGTCTCTGGACCAGAAGTGAAAGTGATCAGTCACTTTACTACCTGTTTACACTTTGTAGAACGAGGACATTGTAAGTCATCTTTTGATCAAACAACTGGCAGTGTACCTCTCACTTCCGCTCTCTGCAAACCGCCCAACTGACTCGGCTGGACTGGAAGCCACTGGGCAGGGAGCTGTGCCAGCATGTCACAGTCACTTGCCACCAGGCCTGTGCCAGTGCAGGTGAGGAGGCCTTGGCCTCCCGGGGGCTCCGAGCCAGATCGTAGAACCGATAGCTCTTTAAAAGCATTTGACTTATTTTTTTTTAAGCCATCACCTGACTGTGTTCCTTAGAATAAATAAAGGACGTTTTATAAACGACAGCTCTAACGCTTGCTTTCTGGTCCCTGGTGGCCGCCCGGAGAAGGGCGTCTGGTGGTGTGGATGATTCTGGAGCTACTACTGCTCACACTCGGACGTAGTTTGACTGCTCCCCAGCTTCTTGAGGTGCTTCTGCCACAGACGCGAGCCCTTCCTGATCTGAGGGGCCGCGTCAGAGGGTGGGCCCTTGAACAGCTGTGTGGGCCCTGGCACCAAGGGCAGACCCTGCTGCATACTGGATCCCAGGGCCCTTTGCACTGTATTTAATGTGTGAAGCAAACCACTTGACTACCTTTGAAAGGAGAGAGAGTATGGATGTGTGAGCCCCGAGGAGGCAAGCCTCACCAAGCCTCACCCCAGGAAGCTGCTCTGTGTTAGCTGCTCAGCCTGATAGACATGGGGGAGAGATGCTCTCTGGTGCAGGAGCTGGCTTGTTGTTCGCCAAAGAATACTGTCTGGCAAGATGACTGTCAGACCCTAGCCCAGGCATCCTCAAACTATGGCCCACGGGCCACATACGGCCCGCCGAGGACATTTATGTGGCCCGCCGGGTGTTTTTGCCCCACTTTTTTTGCTTCAAAATAAGCTATGTGCAGTGTGCATAGGAATTTGTTCATAGTTTTTTTTTAAACTATAGTCTGGCCCTCCAATGGGTCTGAGGGACAGTGAACTGGCCCCCTGTTTAAAAAGTTTGAGGACCCCTGCCCTAGCCTCTGCCTCTCCTGAGATAGGAAATCAACTCTGCTGGCCCTGGGGGAGACTAGGGTACATGGGGTGGTGGTTTCTCCTAAGCTAAGGACAATGTGGGGCTGACCATGTGAAGCTGCGAAGGTTTGCCCTTCAAAGGCAACATGCTTGGCTCAAACCAACAAGAAGCTCCAGACAGAGCTGGAGGGATCATTGCTGCTGGCAGAGAGGACAGCTGCTGGCCTTGAACCTGGGCTGAGGAGGGGTGAAATAGAGACAGGGTGTTGCAGTTGGAAGGCTAGAACTGCAGGGGACATTGAGGTGACTGAGTTTTATAATGCCGCTCGTACCTCTGATGTGGTGAGTGTGACTAGCTCTCTTTCCACCCAAGGAAGTGGCCCAAGCCATGTAGAGTGACCTTGCCCCCACTGGCCACCTCTGGCGAGGCTTTGGCATGGAGTTACATATCATTCAAGGCCAGGTCACTGCAGAGTATAAACTCCTGTTCCTTTCTTTTGAAGTGGTCTCCCAATGGATGTCCTTAAAATTGATGGAAAGGGTAGAGCGAAGACTTTAACATGTTTGTGTCAGGAAAAAAAAAGGTAGCCCAGATCCTTATTAGTCAGTTTCTCATTAGCCCAAACAAGCACGGTTGGTTTTCAGTATGAACACCTGCAGAAGGATTACAAAGCTACACGTCTCATTCCCAACAATGAGGCCAAAGAACTTCCCTGCTTCAGTTCGTAGCCCCAACCCCAGCCTATTTTGAGGAAGGTGGGTAGGGCTACCTGATTGGAGACACATCTTTTTAGTACCCATATTTAAAGAAAACTCCATTTTACCTAAACGGGCAGAATGAGAAACATTCCTTCCAGAGTCCCTTTCTTTCTTTCTTTCTTTCTTTCTTTTTTTTTTTTTAACATTTTATTAGGGGCTCATACAACTGTTATCC